AAGTGGGAAGATGATTTTGGGATAGAGGAAGCAATAATGAATTAAAGGAACAGTAAAGTTAATAGCAAAAAATCAACAAAACGGTTCTAGGGGGGCAGGTAGGGGGCAGGGGGGTAGGAACCATCAATTTTTCAAACAGAGCACCATAGGGGCCGGGTCATAATATGACCCGGGGTTCCAAGGTCAAAAGATCCCCGCTGAAAAATCAAATATAAAATTATAAACATTTATGAGTTGAGCATAAGAGTATAATATTTTGTATATACTATAAAGTCAAAGGACATAGAGCATACAGCAGCAGAGAGATCAATCTGAACCTAAGTAGATAATTAAGAAGAGCACACCGGGAAGAAATGATTATAGCAGTGGTTCAAGTGTGCACGTAGGAAGATGTTTCAGGAGAAACCGATAATAAAAGCTTTATGAGTTGAACCATAAGAGTAAAAAAAATTATGTAGACCCTCATTAATACAAATGGAGTATTCAAGTGGGAAAACAAATCTTACTAGCTGTAGCGCACAACAGCAGAGATAGATCAGTCTGAACCTGAGCAAATAGTTGTGAAGAGCACACCAGAAAGAAATGAGACTAGCGAAGAAACTAGATTAACCGCAGTTCAAACACCTTGGAATATATTTCAGAAGAAAACGATGATAACGAATAATGAAAATATCATAAGCCACAGATATGGCTTGGATATCATAAAGGATCTTTATTAAGTTAAAATGCATCGCAATTTGAAGATAAGACTGAAGTCAGTCACCAAGGTCGGGTATGATTAAAATGCTTTGAAAAGAGAATACCCTGCAGAGTGCTAATGGAAGCATTGATGGATCGAAACCCTAACAGGCAACATGTCATCGACTGAAACCTATTTTGGGGAGGACGCAACAAGCTCTTGAACATGATGGATAATTACTTTAGGTGTTCCTACACTGAGAGGCAGGATTCCAGTCGAATCCTAAGTAAACCACTCTCCAACATAAGACCTGAATAGATTCTAGAGATAAAGCTGGTGGACACCTCAGAAGTGGGAAGCAGCAATATGATCTAAGTGGCCAATATAAATGCCTGGATCAAGTTTTCAGCAGCACGTTTCTGATCAGGTGTTCCGGATACTAAAGCAATGTTATCACCCCGGGAGGATTTCGAATCAGTGATCTCTATGGAAGCACCAGATATCTACAAAGGAGTTAAAAAGAAAATCTATATAAGTTATAGGAAAATGAAAAAGAACATTATTTCTAGCAGATGCATAGTTAAGTTCATTAAAGTTAAAAAAAAATCAAACACAATTTGTTAATTATGAAAGATGGATTGGTGAAGCAAAGAAAAAAAGGATACTGATGAAATAATGAAGCTTATTGATAGAGTGCCATATGCAGTTATTTTATGTTATTAATATTTATGGTAGAGTCCCTTAGGATTATTGTTTGTCGGGTCAAATGTTTTATTTTATATATGTCAGTTACTTAGTAAATAGTGTGTAAGTGGGCCTAAATTCTAAGAGTAGTTGCTAAGTAATGTGGTAGTGAACCTAAAGTTTAGGAATAGTTACTAAGTAGTGTGGTAGTGGGCCTAAATTATAGGGATTGGTAGTTATTTGGCTTCTATAAATATTGAGGTTCATTATTTGTAAAACTATCGAGAAAAGTAATTCATATTTGTTATTAGAGATTCTCCTTGGCTTTATTACTTATATGAGTTTAAGATTCTTGCTCATATTTTGATAAAGATTTTCCTTCATCATTATTTTTTATGAAGTTAGATCCTGATTTCATAATTTGATAAAGACTATCCTTCATTTATTTTCCCCACCAATCTTGAGTTCTATCACTTATATTGTGGTAGAATTACAATGAAGAGGTAACTAAATGCATTGAAACACTTACATTTTGGATGTTCTCCAAGTTAGTTCCACGTCTGCCCATAACTTTACCTAGAGCATGAGCAGGGATAAGCACTTCTAGGGTAGAAGATTGAGGTTTTCTGCACAAACCATTCACCTTAAGGGAAAGAAACAACAAACCATTTCATAAAAGTAAAATAGAATTGATTTTAAGGCAGTGTACCTGCTATACAGTTTGGGGGAAGTGGGGGAATATGATGACAACATTCCATGGCTACTGTTTCCATACTCTCCAACCTTCCAACACAACGAGTAAAAAGAAATAAGAAAGCGAAAATAACAAAAATAATACGAGTAAAGTAGTGTGAAAATAAAAATGTCAAGCTGTTTGCCAATTTTCCTGGAGAAGTGAAAAGTAACGTAATTCGTAAAAACTCTCCAATTTGTGACTGCGCTCAATCACAGAAAAGAGCTATAAAAACGAGAGGATGCAACAAGATCGCCATAAATTTAAAATGATCCCAAATCCGTGCTAAGAAATGTTTATTCAATGATGTATTCCCAAGAGTCCAAAAGAAGAGAGCTAGAATAAAAAGGCTATTGATATCAACCATTGATGATTTCATTAATTCAAAACTGGACAAACAAATAGGGTGGGGGTCATATTCTACTACATTGCATTTGGCAATAATCAATATATTTGTACATAGTTGATAAGAGATACAATCAAACCAAACACAAAATATAGGGAGTAGTTAATTATGTGACATTTAAGTAAACACTGGATTCCTAATTGTTAATTTATGTAAGCACTTCAAATGTTTAGCCACATTTAAGTCATGTTTGCCTAAAGTTAAGCTCTTTAAAATCAATACATAATATTAACATTAGTTTTTAGTCGGAGAAATAAAATGAACACTACTGAAAACATTAAATGCTTTGCTCCATTCAAATTGAGCAACACTGCACTTATGTAACTTCAAAACATCCAATCCTTTGACTTCCACTGAAAATGATCTTGATTACTCATCACATATATAAAATCAGACTCCACTTTACTCGCTATCTCACTAATGAGAAAAATAATTAAACTGCCCTTTCAATTCCTATTTTACTACATTTTTCATTTAGACACTATTTTAGGTGAAATGCAGGATTAGCTAAAAGGAAAATCTATAGAAAAGGGGAAGGAAACAAATACAAACTGAACTAGGAGCAATGTCATATCATATCCAATGATTTGAGAAGTGAGAATATTAAAAAAGAAACCAAAAAATGTGTGGCATACCGATGGGAAATCACGTCCATAAGCACCATTTGGAGAATAAATATCAACCCCGGACCGATTATGAGTACTTCGCTCATATCTCAAAGGAGCTACGTGAGGAATGCTTGGCAAAACTGAAGGCACGGAAAGATGAGCTCCACGAGTGTGTAAAACATCAGCAACAGCAGAAGATTTTTGTCCTTTTTCCTGATCTTTGAGAACTTCATCTCTGAGCCTTAGCACAATTTGGATAAGCGCATCCCTCACAGTGCTGACTTCCCCAATCACCTATGTACGCAACTAAAAACTAAGCATACACAAAAAACCAAGTAGAGCAAAAATACATTCACTGAAGGAAAACCTCAACGAGTTCATCACTTTGATCTGCAGCCGTGGGCTTATTGCCTTTGGAGATCCGCACATCAGCCTTAGTTCGTTTTCGAATTTCATTTATGATAGAACCACGTTTACCAATGAGGCACCCGATAACTCTAGATGGAACCAGAAGACATAGAGTGACAGTGTCTTCATCCTCATCATTTATCTTTCCTTGTAGCAATAGCACAGCTTCAACTGCCATTGACTTAAGATCATCTACTGACTGCACAATGCCATCCATGTGAGTAGTAAATAAAGATGAAGCAAATAATAATGGTGTAATCTAAAAAACTGATAATACCCGGAGTAGTTATTCTGTACGATTGTAAGGATAGAAACTGTATTTTTGGATATCAAAAGTTATTTTACAAAATGTGATTGGCTCTCTCTTTTTTCTTTCATTTTTTGCTTTTTTTTTAAGCTGATGTGTTGATGCACTTAGTTTTTAAGATGTTCTGCATTTGTGGTTAAACTTATTTATTTTTTTAATGAAATGCTTGAATACATGATGAACACCAATTCTTAATATTATTATTTTTGTATATGTTTTTTTTCCTGAGTGCTTGTATGTTGAAACCAGCATGAAATGTTTATGGATTAATTATGTTATTAATAATGTTCTACCTTCATTTTAGTAGTAATAATTTGTATAGACATTATGAAACTTTGAACATGAAGCTTTGCCTCAATACACATTTAGGCTTACGCCTTACGCCTTCACCTTGATAGGAAAACACCTCATATACGCAATATGCCTTTTGGAACATTGGCACATCAGATTCTCATAGACAATAAAAAAAGATATGGAAGCAATACCTCCTTAGAGATCACAGTGATAATACACTCCTCAGCTTTGACATCGCCTATCTCAATTTGAGCACCACTGGACTGCCTTATGGTTTTAATTGAATTTCCACCCTTGCCAATAACCCGCCCAATATTATGGGAAGGACACAATAATCTGATTTTCAACTCCTCGGTTCGAGAGGCATCAGTCTGATCCGAAACAACGGGGAGAGCAGATGAATAAACAGGCCATGCACTTCTTGCATCTACATAGCCTGGAAACTCTTGTAAATGTGAACCTAAAACAGAAGAAATTGGTCCAGTAGGGACTATAGGATCCCCACCAGCATAAATGCCAGCAGCCGGATATATAGGAGCATCTGATGGTATAATAATACTTGGAG